CAGAACAAAACACAAAGTGTTTCACTGCATTAACAGATTCACAGATTCACTCTCTACATTGCAGGGCTTACAATAATGGCTAGTCAGTTGCCATCAATGATCACTGGACAAGTTAGTTTTAGCTTTTAGTCATAGCTTAACGTTACTGGTCAAAATGACTGGACAAGTTCCTATTCTGGTCAGACATTGTCCATTGGCTGGCCCGCATTTCAAGCCCTGAATGGTCACCCTTCTATACATACCCTTAATGAGTAGTCTGATTCAGGAATATGATTCTGTCTCTCTTGTCTCCTGTATTTGTTACTCTCTGATTCTACATCATCTGGGATTCTAATATCATGAATATCTGAGCGGAAATCAAACTCTGGATTGCCATCTTGAGTCTTACGCATGCCACTAATGACAATTCTAGTTCCACTTTCACTTGGGATGTTGTTAAACTGCTCTTGTAGTTCTGCTTCAGTTTTGAATAGACTATATTTTAATATGTCTCGCAAGGCCTTGTCGCCATCAGCTCTTTCAACCATATGTACGAGGGAGTTAAGAATAAATATTTGATCAGACTTTGTGYTTCTCCTTTTACAATTTGTATCTCAATGAAATATGTATGCTATGATTGGTCAAATAGTTACTTAGCCTGCAAAGGGGCCAAGAAGGCTCTCCCCACCTTTTGGGCCACTATGCAAGCAATTTGCATTATAATTAGATTAATGATACTAGCATATTAGTCAAATCCAACTAGTGGTCTAGCATCACTGTGCCGACACACTAGCCGGGACCAATCACCACATACAGTGAAAACAAAAGAATCAAACTTACTCGAACCAATCAGGAATAAGCAACAAAGTCTAGATATCTGAGAAAAATACTTAGATGTTATCAACAACTGTGGGAATAAGAGATTGTGATTGGCTGAGGCTAATATGATACTGATGTTGCTCTTTCCTGATTGGCTAAAAAAAAAAAAAATCTTAAATTTTATTCAAGTGGTAGTGTGTATGCAGTAATGCTGCATTCTGATTGGATAAGCTGTTACTAGCCTATAATTTATATCCTACTGGTAGCAAAAAGTGCCAGCTTGAAAACCAAAGCATAAAAGCATAACTTTATTGCCATTTTCATAAATATGTGAACTCCGTAGCTGAGGGCTGCAWGCTAAAATTTATTTTTTCGCTGTGCYGCCAGTCAAAAATATGAAAGATACAGACTAATATTAGTCTTGATTGACGGCAGCCAAAAGCCTAATTTCAGCATGCAGCTCACAATTACAGARTTTGCATGTTGATGAACATGGAAGTAATTCATAACTTGTTTGCATCTATATATATTTGTATGACTAGTTGAATTTGCCTAAGACAATTATTAGTCCTCTCACCCTCATGGCCTATGTGTCAATTAACTCATAGCCCATGGGCTCAAGAGCTAATTGTTGTGATAAATGGGTAAGTTATACACCGTGATAAGATGAAAAAACTTACTGACGCTTCAGACGCTAGTCCTTCGTCGGAGTAAAAGAGGAATTGTTAATTAGCTGAATTGGATGTGCTTTTACCTATTGTTTATTAAATGGGTCTCAGGCATAAAAGCAAAAAAAAATCTTGGATTTTGGATCAATGTGAAATCATCCCAGGGTAATTAAACATAAACAAAAAAATATGGCCATCTTACAATTTCCTAGAAATTACGTGATATGAGTGCTTAAAAATGAATTTTTTTGTTTTCATTAAAAATAAATTCCATTTCCGATAAAGTTAAAAATAAAAATTAGAGATAAATGATTTGATTTTCTGGCGGTAACATTGAGTTTAAACTGTTTGGCGCGAAATAGAAAAGGGAGCGGAAATACATGTACCGAGTAGTAAAACTTAAAAGAAGTTCATTTAAAAGGATATCTCCATTTGAATCCCACGAAACAATAGGAACAAGAATGGTCTGGGCTTTAATTTCTTCCAGGTAAGTTTGAGACAAGAGACCAACACTTCTTGAATCTTGTTGTTTAGTGAATACGATTGCATCTTTTCCAAGACGCATGGAACCCGATTTGAAACCATTGCCGTAATGTCCGACAGGAAGATGGTCGTTCTTCGCTACCTACACAGCAAAATGAAACCATTTGACATCAAATAAGTTATTCTCGTATATATTACACCTAAGAGAATAATAAACATGGTTTAAAAAAACACCATGAAGGTAAGTTTTATTATTCAAATCAAGTTGGACTGCAAAACAAAGCGACTGTACCTTTTCACAAAATCCAAAACTGAAACAAAAACAAAAATACAGTTATTAAAACGGGCTTTCTAGCACTGCAAAGATTTTTAGGGTTTCTTCTTTATTTACCTCAACATTTTGTGGAGTTTCAGGGAATCCATCCCTTCGCCGTTGTCAGTAAAGGTGAGACAGTGATCGCTTCTCGTACCGTATCGTTTGATGTCGATCCAAAGCTGACTTGCATCCACATCAGGATCATATGCATTATCTGCAAATATCCATCATACAAATGAATTAAACCAAGTCTCTGGATAAAATCAGGCTAGGATATTCCACTGTTTGAACCCTAATGATCAAATAATTTACCTATCAGTTCTGCAATGGCGCTAAATGGCCAGGTATGACTTGTCGAGTTTGTGTGCAAATATTTTGGACTCAGCTGAAGGGAAAAAACACACGATTAAATACAAGATAGATAGATCTGCAACTGCTGAAGGCTAATCGTTACTCACTGTGCTTAACCGGATTCCTTGTTCGCCTGGGATAAGGTTAATATGCGACATATTTTGGATGAGTTTTTGTGTGRCTGAACGTCACGATCGTAAAAATCCTTCACTTCACTGTTTTCGATCGAGAAGACTGAGCGCGAGCTCGAATTTTGTTTTTACGAACACTCTCAAGGGTGGAACGTCTGGAATGACTGACACATGTCACTTTTTCCAAGACACCATCCAATCAAATCCCTAAGTTAACTTGATTGACAGTTACATGTAAAACTGCAACTACCAATCAAACAAGAGGTACATGTCGTTAACTTTAAGAACATTCTTGGTGTTTCCGGTTTTTGAATTTTTTCGTTTTTGTCGTCAAAAATAATTGTCTAAATATCTCAATAAATTTTCAGGGTTTTTTTTTAATATCACAAGCAAAAATGAGTTTTTTTACCCAAATAGTGGGCGTAGTAATATGTTGAATAACACGACACGACACTCATCACTGC